GCCCCGGGCTCCCCCCTCCAGAGCCCGCAGGGCCTTGCGGGGCCGGGGCGCGGAGCCCGCCGCCCGGGGTCCCTACCTGCCGCCGGCAGGCCGGGCTCAGCCCGCTCGCATGGCCCGGCCGCTGGAGCCCGCGGGCGCGGTGCAGCTGCCTGGCGCTGGCTCCTCGGGCCCTGTGCTCAGCCCCGCCCCATGGTGTCGCGCTCCCCCCCGGGCCGCCGCCCGATGGAACCGGCCGCGCCGCACGCAGGAGCAGCCTCCCCCCGCGGCACGAATGGACCAGTCCACGGCCCGCTCCACCAGCGCGGGCAGAGGGGGCAGCTCGGGCCAAGCCAGGCGGGGCCGTAGTGCACCTAAAGGCTGCGCCGCACAACCTCCTGGGACCGGGGCCGTAACGTGCCTAAAGGCTGCGCCCCACAAATCCTGCTCGGTGGAGCTCGGGGGGAGGGGGTAGGCTGCACCCACAGCCGGCGCTTTTCAGCACCCCGCGGGCAAGCGCCGGGCAACCAGAGCAGGGATGGGCTCTGCCCCCGGTCACACAATGAGTCCGTGGTGGAGGCCTGATTTCCAGCCACACTCTCTGACCACTACATTGTGCTCCCCTCCCAGAACTGGACCTAGAACCCAGGCGTCCATCCCGGATGCCCTGTGCTAATGTAACAAATGCTTTTTCAACTTCAACATGTAGCAAGAGCAGCAGGGATTTTGCAGAGTGGGAGCCCCTCCCACAGCTCAGCCCTGCGACCAGCCTCCCAGGTCAGCCTGGGGCACCCCAAGGCAGGCCGAGGCACCAGCCCAGAGTCTCCATGGGCAGAGGGAATGAAGGGGCTCAGTGGAGGTCACTCTTAGGTGCACCCAGCAGAGAGGAGCAGCCCTGCTTTGATCCCCATAGATTCCCAGGCCAGGTGGGACCAATGTGATCATGTCGTTTGACCCCCTGTATAGTGCAGGCCAGGGACCTGCCCCACAATAACTCCTTTCCTTGCCCCCAGTGGGCTCCCCAGTCCCCCAAGCTAGGTTCTGGAAGGGACCCAGATTCTCAGCTCTCTGCTGCCTGGAAGCAACAGCTTTCCCCAGTGCCCCGGCCTGTGGCCCAGGGGGCCCCTCCCCACGGAGAGCAGCCCTTGGGGTGAACGTCCCCTGCGTTTCACAGCAGGCTGGGGCAGGGGGAATGCCATCGTATCCCCAACAGGGGCACTGCCAGGACCTGTGGGGCCCAGGAAGCACTTCCTAGCCACCTGGTGTTGTTTCCACAGCTGCATGTTGCCCGGTGCCTGCCCTCCCCGGGGGCCTGCACAGCCCCCTGCAGTGCCTGCTCCCCCCACCTGGGAACCCCCTCGGCACCCCACTCCCCAGCTCCTTCCGCCAGGGGTGCTGTCCCTGCCTGAGACAGAGCAGAGCTGTAACTGGGCTCAGGGCAAGACTCCTGCCCACAGCCCAGCCCTCTATGCCAGGGGTGAGTAAGAGCCCAGCCCAGCACATGGGCACGCACCCCCCCCCCCAGGTGTGCGAGGCTCCAGGCAGGTGAGAGCTCCCCAGCACCCTGCAGGGCGGCACTCCAGCCACCCCGAGCCTCCAGCGCACCGGGCCAGGCAATACTGTGAGGCTGGGGGCGCAGCCTGGCATGCGGGGCCTGACGCCCAGCGTGGCAGCAGGCGCTGGGAGAGTCATGTCCCGGGCGGGCGGAGTCGTTCTGGTCACAGTGCGGGACGTTTGTTAGTAACTAGCTGTGGCTGCCTGCCAGCCCCCAATGCGCTGCTGGAGCACGTGGGCAACCAGCTGCTGCCGGGTCCCTGGGGATGGGCTGGAGCAGCGGGGCAGGCTGTCGGCATGTGCTCCTGGCCCAAGCCCTGCCCTGGCTGCATCTCCCCGTCAGGGCGGGGGACTGCTCGCTCCGAGTCCCAGGGGCAAACCTCACAGAGCAACCAGCCAAGCTGTCCAGGCTGGCGCGGCCCCACAGTCTGCTGGCACCTGGTGCCAGGGGGATGCCTGGCAGATGCGCCTTTCAGCAGCATGCTGGGCAGCACCTGGAGCCAGGGCATTGCTCTTCGTGGCACCCTCAGCCCTCGAACGGGTGGCCGCTTCCCACGTTACAGGCTGCGGATCCCCAAGGAGCGTGGCCTGGCCTGGCCCTGGGCTCCCCAGGACCCTGCGGTAGGTCAGAGGGGGCTCTTGATGCTGACAGTCAGACAGAGGCTCTGCCCCACAGCCTGTCGGCCGCCCTGCCCCTCCTGAGGCAGCCTATTGCCCAGGGTGGGGATCCTTCCCCATCCCAGTGCCCTTTGGACGCCCTGACGTCGCCGCTCTGCTGGTTATTGATTGGCTGGTTGGTTGGTTGGTTTCCAAGCTGTGATGATAACATCGGGAAATAACCCGGGATAGCACAGGGCGGGCCGGGCTCCGAAGGGGCAGAGGGCACCCCCCGCCCCAGGAGCAGAGCCCCGGGAGGACGCCAGGTGGGGCCATGCCAGGTCCCCGAGGTGTGGTGTTCTCATCACTGTCACAGCAGAGCTGGGCCCTCAGGGAAATCTTGCTCCTAATGTGGTGCCCAAATGAGAGCGGAGGCCTTCTGGCCCCATATGCCCATTGGGCTGTGTGCGCTGTGCCCCCAGGGCGCCAGACACCCACTGCCCGTGCCGCTGGCTGCAATGGGTCATTCCCACTGATCTCTTCACCCTGGGAGCTGAGCGGGGGCTGGAAGGGCCTGTGCCAGGATGCCCAGAGATGGGGGGGGGGAAGGAGTCAGGCCAGCACATGGCAATGACAATAATTCTCAGAGGCGGGACTCGGACAGGTGTGAGTGACTGGGGAGAGCCCTGCCCAGGGGGACTCCCTAGCAGGGCTCTGGAGGGCGCTGCCTGCTCCCGGCTTCCTGGCTTGTTGTCAGGGGCGGGGGGAGCCTGGGGGAGCTGCCCCGGCCTGTTTCTGGCTGGGATCGATAACTGGTACCCGGCTTCAGCTGAAGGGCCGGGGGTGCTGGAGGCCCCATGGGGATGCGGTTTCGGGGCTGTCACAGGGAGGCAGGTGAGCAGGGCCGCGCTGACTGTGCAGGGCAGAGAGGGCTGTGGATTTCCTGGAGCAGCGTTGCACACAGGCTGCTGGGTGCTGAGGGGTCCCAGGAGGCCCAAATCAACCAGGCGCCATTCCGGCTCCCCACCCCCACTCCCCGGGGGTTCTCACCAAGGCCCCGTGTACGCTGCCGCCGGGGGGCTGGGCTGGGGCACGGTCAGCCCTTGGGGGGGGTATTGCTCACCCCAAACCTGCAGCATCCCCGGGGTCACCAACCCGCTGAGGGTCACCTGGCTCTTGCACGGCTGGTGCGCTGCACGGGGTTGCCTTGAAACCCCCCAACGGGGCCTTTGAAGCTGTCAGGGCGCTGGCGGCTCCGGCACTGGGCAGGGGGCTGTCAGGGATGTGGGGCTGGGGCTGGCGGGGAGGCAGCCCACTGGGTGCAATAGGGAACCACGGCCATGGAACGTCGTCATGTGGGCTCAGAGTGACGGTCCCATTGAGGCAAAGGCGGCAGCTCCCTCCTCTCCGAGCCGTGGCCCCAGGCTAGGGGTTGGCTGCCCCCCGCAGAGGGCTGGCACTGAGCTCTCAGAGCCCTGACCGGAGTGACCTAGCCCAGAAACAGAGGTGCGGCCGTGCTGGGGAACCTGGCTGACAGGCATGTCTGGGGGCCCTGTCGATTCGGGGGGCTCTGAAGTTCCTGCTCCCGGACTCTCCCATTCCCACCCCATTCCGGCCAGGCTGGGGGGCGGCACAGGGCTCTCTGTGCTCGCTGCCCACCCCCCAACAACACTGCATCCGACAGGTGCCTGGCCCCATTTCCAGACCCCCGGGAGCCCTCGCTCCCCATGCCTTTACTCCAACCCATCTTCCGCTTGAGAGGAGCCGCACAATCCCCCCTTGTCCCTGAGACCTGGAAGTAGGTCACATGAATCCCCTGGGCGTCTCAGTGCTGCAATACGGGGTGAGCTCTGGGGCCCTGCAGCGCCAGGGGAGGGGCTCCTTAGCCCCTGCCAAGGGGCAGGATGGGGGGCAGGGGCCCCGAGCTGTGCAGGGCTCCCAGACAGCAGGATGTGAGTGTGGACGGGCCAGGATCCTGGGGTAAGACATAAAACTGGGGTCAGAACTGCCTCTCGTTCCACCCTCGCCCATCGGCTGCCTCCTTCCATCCCGTTCGGGGAGACCGGTGTCTCTCCATGGGCTCCACGCCTGGAAGGGCTGTAGTGGGCCCCCAAGAAGCTGTGCCTGCCCGGGAATGAATTTATCCCTGGGGGACGGGGCAGGATCAGACGAGGACTGAGGGGAAGGGACTCACCCGAGGCCGCGCAGCCAGTCAGAGCCGGGAAGAGGACCCAGGCGTCCTGGCTCCCAGACCCATGCTTTAGCTGCTGTATCCTGATTCCTAGAGGTCAAGGCCAGAGGGGAGCATGAGATCAGGTCGTCTGACCCCCTGTCGCTCATCCCGCTTCGCTCAGGCTCCCTCCCAACCCAGCCGCTCGGATTCCTGGGTCCTGGGCTCTGCGCGGTGCAGCCGCCCTGGCCCAGCAGCTCCTTGTGATTGCCGGGTCACCCCCATCCACTCCTGGGCAGGGCCTGAATGTGGCTGTAGTGCCAATCTGCCCATCCCCCAGCAATCCTGCTACCCAGCCCTGCTCAGGGGGCCCTGGGAGTCAAAGCTGGATGGCAGGGCAGTGGGGGCAGCTGCTGGGCACCCGGCAGGCTGGGAGGAGCTGGGGCGACCAGGAAGCAGGGGCCCAGCATGACAGAGCTGTGGGGTGGATCCCCCCAAGTCCAACGGGGGGAGTAGAGGGAACTCCTAACGCCCCTGCACCAAGGAGCCGCCCCTGCCTAGGGCTCCCCCCAGCTCCCAGCAGAGCCCACGGGCCTGCTACTGGCATCCTGCCCCAGAGCAGTGGGGAGGAGGGCCTCAAGGAAGCAGGAAGGCAGAGATGGTTTGTGACCCACTAATTGCAGTTAATGATTGATCAGCCCAATTATAGCAGGAGCCAAAGGTCTGTTGTGGTCTCAGAGCCCGCGGAGCCAGCAGGGAGCAGGGCAGCATCCCTGAGCGAGCCCCACAGCGCAGGTAGGGGGCACAGCGCAGGGCCACTCGCCACTCATGGCCTGACTATGCTTGAGGTCCTGCCAGTGGCAGGGTCGTGCGCTGGGATGGGGGAGCCGAGACGGCTGGGCCGGGCCTGGTGACGCCACATCACAGAGCAGCACCCCAGGAAGCAGGAGTGTGGGAGTCCGTGGGGCCCGGGACACGATTGCTCCCTGCTGTGGATTCTAGGCCCGAGCGACGGGACGCCCACCCTTCCCAGGGGACAGCCTGGCGGGCCCCGCACAGAGAGTCTGGATCTTCAGTGTGATTCTCTCCGCTGTCATCCCACCCCTACCCCCCCAGCCAGGCCCCTGGGAGCCCCTCCTACACCCCCCACGGACAGAACTCTCTGGGGTGGCTGGGCGTTTCCTCCCCGTCGTATGCACCCGCCCTGCGCGAGCAGCTGGGGCCAGAGCTCGTCGCCCTGCGGGAGGGGCAGCGGGAGCCTCTGGGCGTGGTGGGGCCGGTGCTTGGACTGACCAAGTGGAGCTGCGGGCTCAGTGCTGGGGGAATCTCCTCTCACCTGCCTCCTCCACGGGCTCACACATCCCAGCCTGGGAGTGAGGGCAGGATCGGGCCCCTGCCTGCTCGCTCTGGGGGACGGGCTCGCTCACCCCAGCGCCGTGAGAGCCGCCTGGGGTCCCGGAGGTGCAGGGTGTGCTGGGCATTGGAGACCCAGCTGCCATGGGGTCCCCCCTGCACTGCCCTGCCCCCTCCAGGTGCCCATCCCCTGGCCACACTCTGCCCCTGCTGCGGCACCTACCCAGGCGCATGCGGCCCCAGGGCTCTGGCGTGTGAACTGCCCGGGAGGTCTGGCTGGGCAGGGGAGGGGGCAGGAGAGGCTGTTCCGGGGGGGGGGCGAGAGACACGCAGCGGAAGGGTGTGAGGAGCAGGGAGCTCTCGCTGAAGACTTCCCACCCCACCCCCCCAATGTGCCAGCAGGTCCCTTTGGCAGGATGGCCTGGCGCCCGCTGCTGCTGCTGCCCTTGCTCTTGGTGGCGGGTAAGGATTTCACTCCCTGGCTGGCGGGAAGGGGGCATGGCACGCATGGGGGGGCGAGGACAGAGTGTGGGGGGTAGGGGGCTGTGATTCCCCTGGGGCTGGGCACTGAGGGTCGGGTTCCCCAGGGCAGGTGCCTGCCCCCGCAGCAGGCGACCTCGGAGACCCGGAGCAGCTGCAGGCACTGGGGACCGAGTGCCCTCCTGTGGGCAGGGGTCCAAGCAGTAACCCCCAAGGACCCAGCCTGCCCACTCCAGATGTCCCTGGAGTCTGGTACCTCCTGGCGTCCCAGCGGCCTGGGGAGCAGCTCAAAGCCAGCTGCTCAGGGAGTGCCATGCCAGGGCTGGGCTGGCACCCCCTGGGGCAGGCAGTGCCCTGGCAGCAGGGCGAGGGGGGCTCTGAACAGCTCAGCGCAGGGGCTAACGCTGGGCAAACGTCTCCCTTGCAGTTTCAGGGAACACAGCCCCGAGGTTCAGCATCACCATCGCCTATGTGCCCGAGGACCTGGCCGTGGGTGAGTGCGGGGCGGAGACGGCGGGGCCAGGCTGGGGTGATGCAGAGAACCAGTCACAGGGTTCAGGCCAGACAGCACCATCGATGCCTAGGCTGAGTCCTGACAGCCCAGGCCACCAGCCCCACCCCGCTCCCTGTACGGCACCCAGTCTTCCGGCTGGGCAGCTGTCCAAGGAGAACCCACCACTGCCCGGGGTTAATCACGCGCACTGGGGAGAGCTGCCTTGCGTCTCATTGGAACAAGTCAGGGGTCCACTGGCTGGCTGCTACACCCCAGCCTGGGAACAGCCTCTGGACGACCCCTCCAGTGGGCCAGACCCCCGAGGGGGCTCACGCTTCCTCCAGCATGGGCCCCACAGCCTCACCGCCTCCTCGGACTGAACCTCTGGGCTCCAGCCCCCCTGTCCCCCCGTGAGCTCTGCCAGCGAGTCCAGCTGAGCCAGACGCCGCCGGGGGCAATGCCCCTCGCCCAGCGTTCACAGTGACACTCCCCCAGCGCAGTCGCTGGGCAGGCAGCGGGCACAGCACAGGGAGTCTTTGGGGAGCCCAGAGAGAGGCAGGTGAGAGCCCGGCCCAGCCTGGCCAGCCCAGAGCCCAGGGAACCCCAGTGTCAGGGGCTGTGTCTCTGTCTGACCTGCTTGGTCAGATCCCAGGTGAGAGCTGCGGCTCCTCCCACAGCCAGCTCTTATCCCCCTCCCCAGCCTTTGTTCTCCAGCTGGGATCTGTGCCCAGCTTCCCTGCTTGGGGGGGGACCCAATTCCCTCTGGGGCGCGAGGGGTCAGTGTCCTGGCGATGGGATCTGCCATGGTCGTCTCAGATTCTCCATTGATTCATAGATTCATAGATTCTAGGACTGGAAGGGACCCCGAGAGGTCATCGAGTCCAGTCCCCTGCCCACATGGCAGGACCAAATACTCTCTAGACCATCCCTGATAGACATTTATCTAACCTACTCTTAAATATCTCCAGAGATGGAGATTCCACAACCTCCCTAGGCAATTTATTCATAATAATAATAATACAAAATGGAGATATCCCATCTTCTAGAACTGGAAGGGACCTTGAAGGGTCATCAAGTCCAGCCCCCTGCCTTCACTATTAGGACCAAGTACTGATTTTGCCCCAGATCCCCAAGTGGCCCCCTTAAGGATTGAACTCACAACCCTGGGTTTAGCAGGCCACTGCTCAAACCACTGAGCTATCCATCCCCCCCACCTTCCACTGTTTAACCACCCTGACAGGAACTTTTTCCTAATGTCCAACCTAAACGTCCCTTGCTGCAGTTT